CAGCAGAAGTGACAGAAACCAAAAGAAGCATGGCCCCCACTTTATTCTTGCCTTTCAAATTCCCAGGTGTGTTTCTTTTGTGGGCTCAAACTCCAGCTGCCAAAGAATCCAGGAAACATGCAGTCTTTATCATCTTATCTGAGGCATTTAGCAAAACATATTACAAGGGAGTTGGGATGGAGTTCACTGAGTCTATCTGTAATATCTGACATGGATGGAGGAAGGGGTAACAGCTTCATTTTCCCCAAGGCCCCTGGAGATTCACTGTCATACACCAAAGCCGGCCATGCACATCATCATGTGTATAAGAAAAAACCATGCAGGGCATAAGGCCCTCTGGTTGAGGAAGACCTCGAGTACAGAGAACAAATCACTCCTGGCTTCCTCGAGCTTACACTGTTTCATCTGAGAAAAAGAAACATAGATTCACAAACTGGCAGGCCAGTTGTACATATTCATGATAGCCTTTGAAAACAGATGCATTAGGGAGTTATAATTTGCATTTTTCAAAGAATCTACCTTAGATGCCATCAGCATGTAGAGGTTAGAGTTATGTCCAATTCCCAGCATCTATGTGTTGTGGCCTATGTGCTCACTTACTGTCCTATGTGCTTCCCCATTTAATCTTCCTAACATGTGAATTCAGAATTACTGAGCTATGAGATACTATATATAATAATTATTGGACTTCCTTCATGGGAAAAGTTTTAGTAGAAACTTTGTGTGTGTGGAGGTGACTCACTTATCTTTGCTGGAGAAACTGAGAGTTGAAAGATAAGTGCAACTACTTAGAGAAGATGTCAGATTTCCAAAATCAGAAATGTGTAAGGACATTTAAATACATGTCTAACCCATGTGACATTAGACTGCTGAAGTTAATCCTAACTTTAATAATGGTGCGGCAAAAGAAAGGTTATGACCTTGGTGTTTCTGGCTAGCAGGGGAGTGTGTGTGTGTGTGTGTGTGTGTGTGTTTTGAGGGATGGGGAGGTGGATTCTGTTTCAAAAGACACCACAGAGAAAGTTTTTCTTCCACTGAAGAGGGAGTAGAAAACCACTAACCCCGAAGCACCTCAAGTCATAGAGTGCCGACACAGACTAATGAGTTCCTATATATGTATTTTGTCTCTATTACCTCATTTAAAGGCAAGCCATTTTATAGACAGGAGATGGAAGCTTAGAGAGTTTACCAAAGTCATACAAAAAATAAGCATAGACTCAGGGATTTAAAACCAGGTCTGACTTCAGACAACCATTGATGTTCTAGCATCAGGACTGAGTAAGCCAAGTTAACGTGGAGGTGGCCCCAATTCTATCACAGATACATAGAGGGTGCTGAATAAAATACTATCCAAATGTATATTTAAGTAAATAAAGAAACTTAGGAAAACTTAGGATATGCTAGGAATGAAGAAAGCCATCAAAGACAGCAAAGTGAAGTGATGTCTCAGCAGCCCACAAGAATTCGTCTCTGGAGTAAGAGCCAGGGGCTCATGCCCATGAGGGGCAAGAGGAAGACTGTGAGACATGACCGCACTCGGCATGAAATCTAAGGCCTTGAGCCTATACATGCTGAAGGTACTCTACAAGAAGTATGTCAAAGAAATAATCAATCCTCCCATGTTTTCTTCCATCTGCTACCTCTATAGCTTTTCTTCTTCCTTCTTAATTACAACCCTTAAATAGAATTCGTGCCTCATATCGAATTTACCGAGTATCATAATTCCTCCAGGTGGTAAAGATACCTCAAGACAAATGCTGGGCATAGAAGCCACAGGGCATAAATCTGCAAAGAAGTAAAAAGCTAACCTTTTCAAACAATATGGCTTCTCTCTCACTTACCAACTTTACATTTCCCTGTATGGCCCCGGAAGATGACTGGTTAGCCAGAGACGGGTAAGATTCCTCAAGGGAGGAACAACCTAAGACAGGCACAGTCGCAGGGGGGCCATCAGGTGAGAATTTGGGGATCAACAGAGGTGAGGCTCAGAACCTCACCCCCCCTGCTTTGAGAGAAATCTTCTGCATCCGTGGATGTCTTGCTGCCCTTGTCTAGCCTGGATTAATACTTAGTCCATAGGCACACACCTGATCATCTGATCATCTACATTTGCCTTCTTACAGCACTAAACTATGTTTTCTACCTTTATCTTGCATCTACCTACCACTTCAGCATTTTATTAAAAATAAAAATAATAATAATAATAGGAGAAATGTGGGATCAACATATAAATCAAGTACAAAAATCAAATGAATATTCATATTTGACCTGATGGTTTATAGGTCATATTGCATGATCAAAACCAAAAGTTTCTGTGATGACTGCCCTTGCACTGTTCACCATGTAAGAACTTATTCACTATGTAAGAATTCGTTCACCATGTAAGAACTTGTTCGTTATGCTTCAGAAGATTGGAGACTGACGAGAATTAGGCTTGAGATGGATTAACGATTGACATTGAGCATTGACTCCCCTATACAGAATTTTATTGTTGTTAACAACCATTTGATCAATAAATATGAGCGATGCCCTCTCAAAAAAAAAAATCAAGAAAATAAACAAATAAATGAAAAAAAAAATCTAAGGCCTTGAACTCTTTCCTTTGAAATGGAGTTAGAAAAACTGTACACCATCCCCAGGAATTAGCCAGGAAGCTCACCATTTGTCTAAGTTCTTAGTCATGGAGTGAAAATGTCATCCACCAGAAATCTAACCCTAGGCCTATCACATGTGCAAGAGTGGGGGTCTAAATTAAGCTACCTGTGTGGTGCAAATCCCAAGGTGAAAATCTAACATAAAAACTGGCTTAGAGCCACTGAGGTACTTAGCACTCTGGCAGAAGCAAATGTGAATCTGCTCCACGGAGATGACGGCCCTGGCCAGAGCTTCAGGGACTCCCCTAGGAAGAAGCAGCCCCTGCTCAAGGTAAATTCACAACAAAAATTACAAATATCCTTCCATGCTGGTAAAAAGTAAAATCCTGTCTGGAATTTAAAGAGTGAAAAGTAGCTTAGACTGGCAGGAAAAAAAACAAAAACCAAACACCAAAAAGCATCCCTGCCAAAAGAGGCCGGGAAGTTAATTAGTCTGGACACTAATCAAGCTACAAAGTTAGCAGGGAATACTGTTTCTCCCAAGGTCAACAGCAGCTTTCAAACACCATAACGACCCCTCTTTGAGTGACTACCACTTTCCTACCAAAGTCCCAGCCAACTTTGCCATTGCCATACCCTTCTTTGCTGGGGTACCCAACTGCTAAGCCCCCTCCCTTCATGCCAGCACCCAATCCCTGGTTGATCCCCACTCCGAATTCCCCTCTGTATCAGCAACCAATCCAGAATTGATGCCACTTCCCTTAGAACCCTCAGAATCCTTCAACGGGACCTGAACCTCACCAAAGATGCTCCCCTCCTCCCTTCTGTGGAACAACATTCCACCAGTTCCCCTGGAGGGACCTGCCTGACTGCATTGTATCAACCACTCTCACATGGTCAGACTACAGCCTCCCTCCTGGCCTGTGACTGATGCGGATTTATCAGTAGAAAGTTGGCATGTACAAGAAACAGAAAAACTGTTGTCTCCTCAAAAGTCATAATAGTAAAAAATCTGGAAGGTACTGTAAGTAATAAGTGCAGATTTAAAAAGACGGAGGTGATAATAATAAAGATGGCTAGTACTTACATAACACTGTTTGAAAGACTTCACAGAGTATTAATTCATTCAATCTTCACAAAATCCTTGTGAAGTAGGCATTATTACTTCCTCCCTTTTACACATGAGATGTTAGGAAATTTGCCCATGGTCACACAGCCATTAGAGTGGCAGAGCTGGGATTTGAACCCAAACAGTGTAGTTCCAGAGTATATGCTACTCATCACTATAGATGAAAGCAACAGGACACTATTAAATAAGGACAGGCAGATTTGAAGAAAGAACCAAGTCAATTTTCTAGAAATGAGAAGTAGAATCACTCATTTTCATTCATTCATTCAACAAATATTTATTGAGTTTATATTATGTGCCAGACATAGTTCAAAGCTCTAGGAACACTGCAGTGAACAAAATAGACAAAAAGCCTTGTCCTAATAGAGTTTACATTTTAATGATGAAGATAGATAATAAATATAATACATAGCATAAACATTAGGGAAATGCAAATCAAAACCACAATGAGATATCACTTCACACCCATTAGAATGGCCACTACTCAAAAGACAAGAAACAACAAATGCTGGCAAGGATGTGGAGAAAGGGGAACCCTCCTACACTGTTGGTGGGCATGTAAATTAGTTCAACCATTGTGGAAAGCAATATGGAGGTTCCCTCAAAGAAAACAAAAATAGTTTTTAATTTTTTTAAACTTCTAAAATTAAAAAAAAAATACCATTCAACCCAGTAATTCCACTCCTAGGAATTTACTCCTCAAAAAAAACAAGATCCCTGATTCAAAAAGATATATACACCCCTATAATTATTGCAGCACTATTTACAATAACCAAGATATTGAAGCAACCTAAGTGTCCATCAGTAGATGAATGGATAAACAAGATGTGGTACATATACACAATGGAATATTATTCACCCATAAGAAAACAAATCCTACCATTTGCAACAACATGGATGGAGCTAGAGGGTATTATACTCAGTGAAATAAGCCAGGAGGAGAAAGACTAATACCAAATGATTTCACTCATTTCTGGAGTGTAACAGCAAAGCAAAACTGAAGAAACAAAGTAGCAGCAGACTCACAGACTCCAAGAGGGACTACCAGTTACCAAAGGGAAGGAGTTGTGTGGGTAGCAAGGGAGGGTGAAGGGATTGAGGGGCATTATAATTAGCACACATAATGTAGGTGGGTCACTGGGCAGGCAGTATTGCACAGGGAAGGCAAATAGTGACTCTGTAGCATCTTACTATGCTGATGGACAGTGACTGCAATGGGCTGTGGGTGGGGAGGACTTGATAACGTGGGTGAATGTTGTAACTACAATGTTGCTCATGTGAAACCTTCATAAGATTGTATATCAATGATACCTTAATTAAAAAAATCCACAGGATCTATAGTATGTGCAGTATGAGGGAAAGAGAAGAAATATTTAAAGATGACTTCAAGGATTTTAGCCTAAACACTGATAACAGTTACCATTAACGAAGACAGGAAAACTGCAGAGTTTGGGAATGAAAAGCAGGTGCTCATTTTTTAAATTTCTAAGTGGAGATACCTCACAGCAAGCTCTCGGAAGTTTAGGGGAGACATCCGAGCTCTGGAAGTTATCAGTATATTTATAGTATTTGTAATCACAAGACTGATGACTTCATCTGGAAAGTGGTTTAGATTGTGAAAAAGAGAAGAGGTTTGAGAACTGAGCCCCAGGACTTCATTTAGAAGTGGGGATAATGAAGAAGAAGCAAGAAACAGGCTGAAACAGAGCCAGAAATACAGAAGAAAACCAGAAGAGTATGTGTCTTCAAAGCCAAATGAAGGGAGTTATTAAGGTGTAGAAGTCAATAGATGGGTTAAACAGCAAATCAGACCAAACTTACAGGGAGAGAGAAAGATGGAAAATAAAAACAGTGATTAGGAGAAACAGAGGATATAATAAAGGGATTCCATATGCATTTAGTGGATGTCCCCGAAGGAAAGAACAGAGAATGTGAAAAGGCAATATTTAAAAAGAAAATATCTAAGCATTTTCTATAATTAAATTTAGAAAGACATTACTGTTGCAGGTTGGGTTCCCTGGGAAGTAGACTGAGACAGAGATTAGTGTGCAAGAAGCTTATCACGGGGAGCTCTTGGGACCAATAGCAGTGGGAGGGATGGAAGCAGGACCCGGCAGAAGGAGGAGGTGAGCTGCGACGCCATCTCAGCAAAGTCTTCAGCCAGCTTCATGAGAAGGGGGAATAATTGCCCTGGCGTGCCCAGGATTGAGGGATGTCTTAGGATGTAAAATTGAGGGGTTTCAGGGACACGAGTCTCTAGCACATCTGGGTGAATTGATCATCCTACCATGGGGAGCTGTGAAGCTTAGATGGCCCTTTAGAATTGTCCCATGTTGAGACAGAGGGCTGGCGCTTTGTACCCCTGCACTGACCCATCACTGGATGCAGGCTGCCATCAGGAAGGGCTGTGACCTGGTGGGCAAAGCAGGACTATTCAGCTGAGAACAATGCCTAGAGAGAACTGACATCTGAACATTGTCTGCTGGCAGCACCCCCAGGTCCTCGCGTCTTGGCTGGCTACTCGTTCCTTCAGTCCTGAAGAGGGATTCCGGTGGTGCAGGCAGTGTTAGACATAATGAGTCTTTTCAATGAAGTTGCAATTTGAGTCTTGAACAGAATAAATAAAAATCTGCACCTGGACACACCATCACACCTGCAGAACAATACAAAGAGATAAATCCAACCAACTTGGAAAGACAAATCTTCTACAAAAGAACAATAATTACCTAGAACAGACTTCTCATCAGGAATAACAAAAGTCAGGAAAAAAAATGAAACACTATCTTCAGTGAATTAAGGGAAACTGTCAACCTGGAGTTCTAAATTCACCTAAATAGTATTTCTAGACTGAGCACAGAATAAAATAAAGACATTTTTAGACAACTAAATAGTGAAAAAGTTCACTTCTCACTGACCCTCCGTAAAAGAACTTCAGAAGGACGTTCTTCAATAAGATGGTAGTTGAAGGAAAAGGATATGCAAGAAGCAGTGGTGAGCAGCAGGTTGGTAATCTAAAACCTAATAAACAAAACACTGACTACAAAATATTACTAATTTGTTATGGAGAAAAAACTGGTGGTTGCCCAAGGGGATGCAAAGAAGGAATGGGCAAAAAAATGGGTATTAAGAGATACAAACTTCTGGCTATAAAATAAATACGTCACAGCAGTGAAAAGTACAGCATAGGGAATACAGCCAATAATATTGTAATAATTTTGTAGGGTGACAGATCAGATAGTAACTACAGTTATCTTGGTGAGAATTTCATAATGTATATAAATATCCAATCACTATGTTGTACACTGAAACTATTATAATATTGTATGTCAACTATACTTCAATTTCTAAAAATTGTAACTCATATGGGGATGTTTAAAACAAGGTGGGAATACATTTTAGGCACTAGTGAGATGGAATGGGGGACAGGGGAAAAAGGAATTAAATCATTTTAAGACCTTGTATTTTTTAGAAGGACAGTGACACAATTAACTTTGTATTTTATTATGTCAAGAATGCATATTCAAAACTCTAAGTGTAATCCCTAAAAGAGTAAAAATAGAATACATAACTTCCAAGCCTGTAGAAATAAAAAGAGGGAGCAAAAGCGAAAAACTTCATTAATAGAAAGCAATAAAAGGAAAAACAAAACATGATAAGGAAAAGTACAAAAATGGGAAATAGAAATAAATCTAAAGAGATTACTAATCTCAATAAATTTAAACGATTAAACCCAACAGTTAAAAGACAAAAATGCTCAGACTAGCATTTTTCCAATGATTACATTTTTTTTAAAGAGACAAACCTGACTCATAATGATACAAGAAGGTTCAAAGTAAAGAGATGGAAGCAAATACACCTTGGCAATACTAGTGGAAGGAAGCTGGTGTGGCAATATCAACATCAGACAAAAAAACATACCAAGGCAAAAACATTACTAGAAATTAAGTAGACTTCAGTTCCCAGCTCTCACCTGAAACAACGAATAAACAGGACAGAATACCCGAGACCATGATTTTTCACACTTTGGACATTACACAGTGACCCCTCAGAAGGAAAACAAATTATTGAACCCCATTATTTGTGCCAGCTTTAGTGACTGGAGAGTTTCCAGGCCATAGAACAGACAGGCAGACCTTGAGTCTTTCTGAGCTGAAAGATAAATCTGAGAGCCTGAAGGAGCCAAAGCTGCTAGAGTTCGCAGACACAGTACTGGGGGTGGGGGTAGAGTTGCCCTCAGACAGACAGTTCCAGAAATCTATCTGCACAGGCTTGCCCTCAAGCCTTCAGCTGAGCGCTCATTAGCATGTGAGTATGAAGAACCTACCCAAAATCAGAGAAGGAATGGCCCCAAAAAGAACAGAGGGAACAATCCAGGCAGATGACACAGGGCTAAGAATAGCTGGGGTCCTATCACAGCAGAAAATCTTATAATTCACGGGGCACCAAATGATCAGAGGGTGTTGCCTCAGTAGTGGGGCAAAAAAATCAGCCCTAAAGACTACTACTCAAATCCCACCAAATAAAGCTTAAAAATAAAAAGGACTTAAAGGGATCAAACTTTTCCAAGTAATGTAACTATGTCCCAGAACAAAGCTCAAGAATATTTACAGAAATACAAAACATCAGCATCTAACACAGTAAAACTCACGTCTGCAAACCAATCAAAACTTACCAGGCATGCAAAGAAGCAGGAAACTATGACCCAAAATAAGGAGAAAGGCCTATCAATAAAACACTTCATCCAAAATAGCACAGATGACAGAATTAGTAGAAAAGAACATTAAAAGTTATTGCAACTATGTTCCTTAAATTTAAGATGGTAGAGAAAAATTGTGTATGTTAAGTAGAGATGTCAAAGATATTTAAAAAATCCAAATTAAATCTCTAGAGATGAAAACAGCCATGCCTGGGACACATTTTCAGTGGATGGTGTGAACAGCAGATTAGCCATCACTGGAGATAAAAGAGAGTTCATCCGGAAATTATAAAAAGCCTGAACCACTGCACACCTAACAGTGGAACCTCAGAATCTAATATAAAGCAAACCTTGACAGATCTAAAGGAGGATTTGATGGTTTCAAGACTGTAGTGGAAGATTTTAACATTGCATCTTTTAAAAATGACAGATAAAAAAGGCAAAGCTATAAATTTAAAAACATACATATAAATCAAAAACATAAATTCAAAGTAAATGCAAACTTATAAATACAAGACATTGCAGATCTCACATCCTTGTATATTGAGACATGTGTTATCGACCTTGAGCTCCTTGAGAGCGAGAAGTGTGTCCTGTTCAGGACTGAATCCTCAGAGCCCAACAGGGGATCTGACAGATTTTAGTTTGTCATTAAGTAGTTCTTTATTATTTTAATTAGAAATTAGGTAGCTAAAACACTAGTAAGGCTACTGAGGACATAAATGCACAACTAACTAACTTGAGTTAATGGATATGTATGGAACTGCACCTAACAAAGAGAGCATACTTTTTCCAAAAACATATTTTTTTCAAAAATATATAAAACCTATAAAAGTCAACACATAGTTATCATTAGAGAATGAAAAAATGTGCTCTCATGCTGTTGCGGGAGAGTCAGACTGTAATTTGTTGTCTTGCTATGGAAAAATGAATTCAGGTACTTTTGTTGGTTCTTGGAAGTGTAGTTATGAACATTGTTTTGTTTTCTGGGAAGTTGAGGAGGGAGCAGTATTTCCCACTTCCCTTTCTTTATTCTGACAACCTAATATCACTTCAGAGTCAGAACACAACATTTCCCAAAACTTTGCAAACCCCACAATCAATGAATATAAGAATTCAGACCAAAGCTCTCTACTGATCTTCACCTTATTGATAAGAACATAAGAATATTAACTGTAATATTACTTTATATTAACTGCATAATAAACTGATGTTCATTTCTCATTTCATGTGTTGTTTCCATAAACTTCCCCACCAAAAAGCCCATTTAAGGGTTGTTATGGTTAACTTACCTGGGTTGATTGACCTTTATCTGATGACAGACAGGAGTCTGGTGCCCAAAGTGATCAAAACAAAATAGACTTGAGTCTGATAGAATATTGCCTTTAATAAAAAACAAAAAATACCTTTATTGAGATACAACTTACATACCATGCAATTCACCCATTTAAAATTTTCAGTTCAATGTTTTCAGTGTATTGACAGTTTGCAATCATCAATGCAATCAATTTTAGAATCTTTTCATTACCCCAAAAAGAAATTCTGTACTCATTAGCAGTCAGTCTCCATTGCTCTCCAGCACAGGTACTCATCTACTCTCAGTCTCAATTCATTTGCCTATTCTGGACATTTCATATAAACAGACTCATACAATATGTGGTCTTTGTGACTGGCTTCTTTCACTTAGCATAACATTTTCAAGGTCCATGTATGTTGTAGCATGCCCAAGGACTTCGTTCCTTTTCGCTGAGAAATAATATTCCATTGTACAGATAATACCATGTGTAATTTAACCGTTCATCAGTTGATGGACACTTGAGTTGTTCCTGCTTTTCAGCCATTATGAATAATGTTGCTATAAGCAATCCTGTACAAGCGTTTGTGGGAACATCTATTTTCATTTCTCTTGGGTATATACCTAGTAGTGGAATTGCTGGGTCATATGCTAATTATAGAGGAACTTCCAGACTGCTTCCAAAGTACTGCACCCTTTCCATTCCACCACCAGTGTTTGAGGGTCCCAATTTCTCCACATGCCTGGCAACATTTGCTGTTATCTTTTCGATTATAGCCAGCCTAGTGGGTATAAAGTGCTCTTTTTTTGTGGTCTGAATATTGTTTTACTAAAGCTTATTTATGATTGAGTGTTCTGCAAGACAGATGAGTGTTTTTAATTACTTTGCTATAATACATGTTATTAACTTTATTTACTTGCAAAAATAATCAGGTTTGATATATGAAAGTGAAAAGTGTTTCGGCTATCTATCAAACCACCCCACAATTTAGGGGCTTAAAATAACAGCCATTTTATTATCTTTCATGATTCTGTGGTTGACTAGGCTCAGCTGGGTGGTTTTTCTGCTCTGTGTCATGTCAGCTGAGGCTGCGGTCACCTGGGAGCTTGCCTGGGCAGGAACATCCAGATAGCTCATTTACATCTCAGAGATGGCTAGAAGGCTGGACTCAGATGGCATACTTGGGCAGCTGGGACTCTTTCTCCTTCCACATAATCTTGGGGCCTCTCTGTCTACATGGCCTTTCCAGCAGAGAAGTTAGACTTCACATATGGCAGCAAAGAACTCCCCAAAGTGCAAAAGTGGAAGCTTTGGGTGGCCTGGAACCAGCACAGCATCACTCCACCACACTTTATTGGTTAAAGGGAAGCTGGGCCAGTCTAGATTGCAAGGCATGAATCATGGAGACATGGACCATTGGGGGTCATGTTTGGAAATTGGCTACCACACACACACACACACGCAAATAGTTTCCAGGCAATAATAACAAATTTTCTAATTTACTAACATTACTGTTAAATGGTTTCCATTTTTAAAGCATTTAAGGCATTTATCCTTGAGGACCTTTTAAAAAGCAGGAAAGAACTTGAGCTCACAAGAAACCATTAATACTCTAAGATAACATCCTCCCTCACCTTCCAGGTTTCTCAATCCCTAAAGTGTAAAGGACATACAAAAAAGATAATTCTTACAAAAGAAGCTCAAGGAGAAAAGACCCCCAATATCAGCTAATAAAGATTTTTCTGTATATGGAAATTGTCAGCTCATTCTCATTTCCAAAGCACACTCCCTCCTGATATGTTTGGAAGATTGCATTTTCCATCATTTCACATGTTAGATTATTTGTGATTGTGCATGGCTGTATTTTCCAACACAGTCTCCTTTCCCCCATGTGCCCCAATTTGCAGAAGAGAAGTAGAGGTCTCCAGGTCGCAGAAGTTCAGACTCCAGTCCTGGACAAAACCTGAAGAGGTTCTGTATTTTATAACATTTGAAAGCACCTTGCCAACACCCAATCCTAAGGTAAATTGGGCTTTAATACTTAAAAAGCATTCATTAAGTCCAACAACGGAGTCACCTCTGCTGAGCTAGGAAGCTCCAATCCCTGGAAGGGTTCCAACAGAACTGGGTCACCTGTCAGGGATGCTGCTATACAGATGAGGGAAAGCTGGAAAAGCCCTAACAAATTCCAGATCTTATTATTTGAAACCTGTGAAATGTAGACAGAGCATTTTGCACTAATGAGATACTCAGATTGTGAGGTCAGATCTGGGTTTCTAACCTGCCTTCACCATCTACCAGCTGTATGACCTTGGAGAGGTTACCCTGGCAGCCTATTTCCTCATCTGTACACTGGGGATAACAATATCACCTGTATTTAAGATGTGGGTTCTGCAGTTAAACCAGAAGGCATACAAATGCTCCATCCTTGGAACAGGGGCCTTCACTTTGGAGCTCATGGACTCCTCTGAAAACATAATGAGGGCTTTGAATCTTCCATATTCCCCCAACCCATGTGCATATAATGAAAATATTGCTACAGGTTCATGGGGCTCACAGACCCCCACTGGGCCATCCATGCTCCTCCCAGGCAGTTACAAACCCTGGCTCTAAACTAAACACAACAGCACAAAACCCCCAAAGGAAATGCAATAACTCCTCGTGAAAGTCACAGCAGCTCAGAAAGCAAATGTAGTTTGTCTTTCGAGAGTCTTGGTCTGTCTCTGTTTGGAAGTGTAATCTTCTGAGACTGAGCTGGCTCTACAGAAACTTTTTTTTGTGGTTTTAAGAAATATCCAGGGAGGAATAAAACTGAATAAACAATACATGACCATCTCTTCTTCAACATGTTATTCATCTTTCTATAATCTAAAATTATTATTATTTTTTAGAAATTCTTTAAGGAAAACCTAATTTGATTTTTTTCAGATTTTTCCCTGGATCTTTACTTTTTTTTCTCACACATAAAGACTAGGAGACATGACTAGATTGGGAAGCTGACCTTGGAGGCCAAGTCTGTCACTAGAAATGAAGAAGAACTTGGCTAGTTTTCAGTGTCTTACCGCAGCCCCACCCTGGAGTAGAATCTAGGACTTTACAAACCTATGAGCATTTATTTGATGGTGTAGCAGTTGGAAACGCTGGCTGCCTCACTGGGTAAAAAGGCCTGGCCATATGGCAGATGAGGAGAAATACCAGGTTAACCCACCTCAGGACTAGAGTTACTTTGCTAAGTCTATACTCCCCAGAAGTGAGTCAGCGGGGTCTCTTCCTGGATTATCGTTTGAGCATATTATTATTGTTAATGATTTATTCTTATGGAAAAGGCAAATGGATAACATCTCTTGTGCTTGAATAAGTTTTATGTCCCTTCCATTGTGTATACATCTCTTCTTAGGTGTTTTAAACCAGAGCTTAATTTTTAATAATTCAGTAATGAATCTTGTTTAATTTTTCTTAATCCTCTTGCCTAATCCTCTTTACGTTAAAGGATTAAATACAGAAAAGAAGACGTAACCAAACGATGACTCAGTCGTCTTTCAATGTTGATCCCCAAAGGCGGATAGAAGAGAAGAAATGTCCCAGAAATGAATGAAACACACAAGTCTAAACTGAGAAATAAATCATCTGAGTCTCAGTCTATTTACTCTAACTTCCCCTTTCTTTCATGACACAAAAATTAGTCTTAAAAGGTTCGCAAAATGCTATTCACTGCACCTTCCACAATATATTCTCTAGTGAAACTAACATCACTAACTCACTGTCACAGACTATTTGCTTTGAGCTGTTTCTCTGCAAGTGGGGAGAGGCCGCACTGAGTCATACACACTCTCACCCAGTCCGCTAAGAGCCCAGGAGAGCAATTTACTTGACAATTGGCCACAATAACAGCACAGGGACTGTCAACAGAGTGGGACCCCAGGCAAAGGGACTGGAGACCTTTTGGGCCCAGGACAATATTAACCTAAGGCAGCTGGAAGGAGAAGCTGAGTCTCAGCCTGATAAGGTCAACTTACTCCACAGAACCCAGAAAATGGTACCATGGTCAAGTTCACAGGGCTTTGTGTTTCCCGCACCTACTTCCTGTTTCTGCCCAAGCTGGGAGTGTATCGTGAGGGGGTGAGGCTGGTAGAGGCCCTGTGTTTTGTTCCTTCTGAATTAAACCTGGAGATCTCCCCCTTTCCCACCACATTCTTACAATCCTCAGCCTTGTGTCTGGGAGAATAAAGTAGCAGCTTCCTGTATGCCATGATTTAGGGGTGCCAGACAAAGCTGCCTTCTCTGAGGAACCCTGCCACGTGGCTTAACATTCCTATAGGACACCCTCCTCTGAGGCAAGACATTGAAGGTGGCTGCTAAAAAACAGATGATGTTTGGTTGGTCTAACATAAAAACCTGTTCTCTGCCATTAAGGCCTTTCAAATCATGTTATCAGATTTGCCCATTGGGATATTTGAACTCTGAAAATAGCAGTCAGGACTGATTGCTTTTACTGCAACCTGGGGCCCAAATTTTCACATTTGGAATCATGCATAGTTCTGCCAATGATAATTTCAGCCATCACATTGAGACTCTGTGTAGAAAGTTTCAAAATACGATGGTATCAAACATGAAACAGGGTCCACACTTTGCAGCCCACATTCCTCAACTGGCTCAGAGGCTGCATTCTTCATATTGTAAGAAGGCAAGACTACGGGGAAATGTTTAAATACTCCGACCTCTCAGTGATCCAAACCAGGAAAAGAAAGTGAGAAGGACTATAAAGAATGCAGAGTAGCAGATTACGAGCATAGAAGTTCATGTCTTTGTACAGTAGGCCCCCTTATCCACAGGGGCTACATTACAAGGCCCCCCGTGGATGCCTGAACCATGGATAGTATCAAACTCCATGTTTTGCCCTATACATACATTCATACCTATGATAAAGCCTAATTTACAAACTAGGCACAGTAAGAGATTAACAACAATAACTAATAACAAAATAGAACAATTATAACAATATACTATAATAAAAGTTACGTGAACGTTGTCTCTCTTTCAGAATATCTTATTGTACTGTACTCACCCTGCTTGTGATGATGTGAGCTGATAAAATGCCTGCGTGATGAGATGAAGCAAGGCGAACGACGTAGGCATTGCCATGTTAGGCTACTACTGACCTTCAAGGATCATCTGCTTCCAGGCCGTGGCTGACCTCGGGTAGCTGAAACCACGGATAAGAGGGACTACTGCACATGCTCTCCCCACAGGCTGAGCTTTCTGAATTCACTTCTGCTTGGGCCAGAGGTCAGTAAACTGGCCTGTGGAGTGTGTGTGTTCTGGTCTTTTCCCCAGCACGTGTAAGCAAAACACAACAACCTCTATCCCAGAAGGAGTGGAGGATGGCATTTTGGAAGGTAGTTCAAAACAGGAGAGTATTAGCAAGCCTGTTTCCCTTCATAACCATACCCTATCCTCCAATCTGGCTTTGTAGTGAAGCCGACATTTTAGTCTCAAAAAATATATATATAAAATAAAATAAAAATACTATCTAAAAAGAATCCTAAGACCCCAAATGGGAGAAGACACATACTCTTCTGTGGTGCCATCCTGCATTCTAGAGTGACTTTCAGTCAGTTCTCCATCTCCCAGTTTTCAGGAGTGCAGTGCCAGGGCTCCAGATTTGAAGGGAGAGTCCACTCAGGTATTTCTGACTCAGCCTTTAGGCCTTTACCGACAGCCTCACCCAGGCTGAGACTACTCATGTGTGTATATACATGGGTGGGTCCATTGCTTTTCCACACTCTCAAGAAAGAATGCCCTCCCAGAACGGTGAATATATGAAGTCCTGACACCTACTAAATAAATATTGCTGTGCTGGATACCAAGAAGGATACTGAGGTTATACAAATGAAAGAAAATCATAAATTATTTATATGACCTCACAAACAAGACATGTCAATGACTATTACACCATATGTTAACTTAGAATAGAGGTATATACAAGGGGTGTGGGCACATGGAAGAGGGATGTTTAACTATCAAGGGAAGGGAGGGCTTCAAAGAGAATATATATAAATTTGGCTTTGAGTAATAGAACACACAACTAAGTGGCCTATGTAGCAAACTTTTTTTTTTCTTAAGGTATTATTGATACACTCTTATGAAGGTTTCACATGAAAAAACAATGTGGTTATTACATTCACACATATTATCATGCCCCCACATACCCCACGTAGCAAACATATTTATCATCTCACATAAAAATAAATATGGAGGCACGAAATGTAGAGTTGGTCTGGATGCCATTAAAATCAGGCTCTTTTCATCCTGGGCATGGGAAGAGAAGTGTTCATTTACTTAAATCTTCTCCATTGCAGATTTAATATGAATATGCCATTCTTTTTTTTTTTGGTATCATTAATGTACAATTACATGAGCAACATTATGGTTATTAGATTCCCCCCATTATCAAGTCCCCCACCACATACCCCATTACAGTCACTGTCCATCAGTGTAGTAAGATGCTATAGAATCACTACTTGTCTTCTCTATGTTGTACTGCCTTCCCCGAATCCCCCCCTACATTATGTGTGCTAACAGTAATGCCCCTTTTACCCCCTTATCCCTCCCTTCCCACCCATCCTCCCCAGTCCCTTTCCCTTTGGTAACTTGGTCCATTCTTGGGTTCTGTGAGTCTGCTATGAATATGCCATTCTTATATTCATCATTTGTGACCCAACAGTTCCGGATTTCTCCAGTGAATAAAATACTTTACAAGGGTTTTGTTTCTTATTTTAATAATTCACCCAGGCCAAACATGTTTTCTTTATTTATGCTACATGCATGAAGCAATACCTTTCCATCCTGCAGTGGTGCCCGATTGTCTCAAGAGCTGGTGAGCGCATCTTACAATTGTTTTAGAGTACCAGGAAAATTTCTCTCCTGCTCTAATAAAAATACCAAACTAGGTCAACTTCTGTTGTCTTTGAAATGTTTTAGGAAAAAAAGCAAGGTTGCAATTTTTTTTAACTGTATTTGTTTGATTACACAAGAACAATACATGTACATTTTAGAAGCTGTAAGCAATAAGGGATGTTGCATAAACTGAAGGTGTAAAGAAGGACAAATGGGGTGTCCTGGAGTTGTGCACTGTACAGCTTATGAGACCATATGTGGCAACCAATTTCTGAACACAGAGCACAGAAATGAAAACATTCTCCTTGATTCTACCTCCCAGTGACATTATTTTGCTAAGTTTCCTTCCAGTTTTATTGTATTTTTAAATGACATTGTAATGTAAAAACCTACTTTATAGCCTCTTTCATTAACAATTAATTTTGAACCTTTAAAATATTTAAACATTCTTGAAAACATCATTCTCAACTGCACCGTATTTTATTATTTCATTTAATGAACACTTACACTGTGTTTTTTTTTTACATGCCAGTCACTATCTTAAACTTGTAACTCATGTAATCTTGCACAGATGCCTTTGTTTGCCTCTCCAGACCCCTCTGCCCTCTTGCGTCCTGTTCTGTGCTCTGGAAAGCCAACCCGTATAGACTGCATTAACGAGCTTCGGTGCCGTCTCTCTTCCCTCGGGCTTGGTCAATGAGGAATTGTGGTAGATTGGATTATCAATCCTGACTCCTTTCTCTCCCTCTCTCTCTGTGTTAGCATTTATCATGTGAGCTTGCTTTCTCCCAGAGTAAATGGAATATAAATAGCTCTACTCTATGGTAGGCTCAGTCATGTGTCACACTTTGGCCAATGGAATGCTTATAGACTTGGGCCGAGCAGAAACCGGAGTGAGCTTGCTTGTTTGGTTGGGCTGCTTGGCAGCTAGTCCCAAAATAAGAGGCCAACGGAAATTGACCTGAATCCGGCCAATCCAAAGCCTGAAGCAGAGCTGCCCAGTCAACCTGGGAGTGAGGAAAACAAATGTTTGCAGTTGGTGGCCACTGAGATTTTAAGTTGTTTGTATGCACCATTAGCAGCAATGGCCGACTAATCACAGATGTCTCAGAAGGAGGCTGGAAATGAGGTCGAGATATTTGTGAAGGGTCACTGGGTTTTCACCAAAAGGCACAGCTCTTTATAGAAGATCTCTTTCTCTCCATCTTCATCTCTCTTTCTCCCTCTCTGTCCCTCTTCAATAATTCCCACTTCCGATAACTGCCCAACTGCTCCCTATGACTTCCTATTGTTACTAGCCCAGACAACCCCTCTATCCGTGGTGGACCCCCACTTCCTTCCACACCTCTGTGAAGCGTCTACCTGCTTCCTGCATAGAGTGTAACTGATAAAAATCCTCATAACTATCTATGAACTGCATTCTATTGTTACCCCATTTTACTAACGAGGAAACTGAAACTCAGACCTTGTACAAGGTCAAACAGCAAGTAAGTGGCAAGCTGAGATGGGAACTGAGGCAGGCTGGATTCAAGCTGACTTCACTGGGCTGCTGTAGGTCCATCTCAAGGGACTTTCTGAATTTACTTATCTAGCTCCCTTTGATGATGTTTATATGTTTGTTATCAGGGTTTTGTTTGCTTTCTGTTATAAATACTGCTGTCATGAGCAATCTGTGTATAACTATTTGCTCGCCTTCAGGTTTAAGAACATTTGTAAAAGTGACATTATTGAATTAAAGAGCATGATATTCTCTGCTCCCAGCCCTTTCTTTCTTTTAAAAATTGTTTCCTCTTGACTATAAAAAGGGCCAGATTCAATAAACAAAATCCAAGCATTACAAAAGTATATGTCATAGGGTATGATCAGGCCTATAATTCCATCCCTCAAAAATACCACAGACCCAGAATCTGTTAATTTCTCTTCAATGATGATCAACAGTAATTATTAGTTTTCCTCATTAGAAAACCAATAAGCATGTTTGGTAGAAATGCAAAAAAGTCAAAAGAAAAAATCATTTTGTAATGCACACAATACATGCTTTGTTCATATGTGGGTATAAACAAACACAAGATGTACTGTGAATACAACCTGCTATACTATGAATATATAGCATGCTTTATCTTCACTTAGCAATACTCATTGTCATGAATATTTTTCATGTCTTTGAAAATTCTTCTATAATATTAATTACATAGTATATTTCTAAAACTGCCTCATAGTCTACTGAGGCAATACACTATCTGCAACTAATTTCTTAGAATTAGACATTTAAGTTGTTTTTTTCTTTCTCTACAATAACTGCAATTCCCATGGGCATAATTATAAAAAGATATTTGCATTTATTTCTGATTATCCCTTTAAAATGTATTTCTAACTATGGAATTTCTGGATCAAAATGAATGTATGTTCATAGAGCTTTTGATGTATAATACAACTGGACTTACAGAAAAGCTGCTGATTTATTGTCCCACCAACAAGGGATATTACTGTTTAGAATTTTTTGCCAATGTGATTAAGTTAAACAAAGAGGAAGAGATCTTTTGGGTTTTATTTACTTACTTGCTTAATAAGAAGATCAAACTTTCATAATTTCATTGTCATTTGTACTTCTGTCGCAAATTACATACTTTGCCATTTTTCTACATATGTTTGTTTCTTAGTGATTTGTATGAACTCTCTTAAATTTTCATGTATGCAGCAAAGGTTTTCTCCACATTGTCATTGCTAATGTACTTTTCTAATATGGATTTTTCACATACTCAAATTTCATTGGTTTTTACCCTTATGGTATCTGCCTTTTGTTATATTGAGAAAGGTTTTCTTCACCTGAAGATCCCATCTAAACATTCACTGGCTATTCTTCTGACTCTTTGTAGTTTTGCTTTTTTTTTATGTTAAAACTTGTAAGTCATTTAAAATTAATTTTGGTATTTTAGGAGAAATAGGGACCTAATTTTACTTGTATTCAAATGATCAGTCTATTCACCCAACATCATTTACTAAGTAAACCTCATTCCCCAGTTGGCCTGTACCACCTTGATCATATACCAAATTCCTTCTATACTTTAAGTTCTCTTTCTGGACTTTTTGTTTTGTTTCATTGATCCATAGCTCTGTGCCAACATCTCACTACCTAAAGTACTGTGGTTTAATAACTTTGAATACCAAGTAGCTAGTAGCACAACCTCCCCCACTCCCTCCCCATTTCATAATTGTTCTTTCTCCAAAATTTCTTGAACTTTTCTTCAGGGTTTATTCTAGCAGATAAACTTCAGAATCATTTCATCTAGTTCTAAAAAAAATCTTACTGAATTTTTAGTTAAAACTGCATTCAATTTATTAGCTAATTTGGGGGAACTTATCTTTATAATACTGTATTGTTCCATTTAGAAATATGAAATTCCATGTATCATTTATGCAAGCCCTTTGAATCTCAAAGTACAATTTGTGTTTTCTTCCCAAAAGTCTTGTGCAATTATTTAAAATGATTGGAGGACATGTGAAGGTGAGGTTCTATGGTGGATATTTTCAAATTCCAGGAAGCCCTGACTAGAAATAAAATGACCTTAAAGGTTGGTTTTAGCTCCACTAAGTACATGGTTGGTTTTAGGTTTTTTTTGTATCACATGTACACTGCAGTGCTTCAACAGTCCCCCTCCCCCTCATCCCTGCCCCTGCCCGCTCCCCTCCCCCTTGGTAATACTAGTCACTTCTCAGTGTCTGTGAG